TTTGATGGTACAAAAAATTGATTGATTGTCAGACAGCGATATTAGCATACATGAAATATGACAGGAATACAGAAAAATTCATATTCCACATATGGGCTGCTTTACAAACTATTTCTCTGTTTGGGATTCCTTTATTTGGCTGTTGAGTAGGAGTGGGATGAGGCTGGGAAGTGAACCCTCGTCCGTGCCAACACAGGAATCCCAAAATGGGAAAATGTTTCCATACCTTAACTTAAATAGCCAACTTTAGATATGACTAGGTACAAAAGAACGCACACGAGGCTCCGGGAAAACAATGGATAATCTTGATTTATTCTTATATTTCCCCGGAGCCTCCCCGGAGCCTCGTCTGCGATAGACCTAACAGTGTTGCCATGTATGTTACAATCCAATTCAAATCCTGTGTGAAAAAGAAACTTTGYATTCCTAATAATTCAACTGTGAAATGAAAATACAACGAACAWTGGAACTTACTGGTGGGTGGGTTGAATTGGGTGGAAACGTTTATAGCAACGCGTTTGCAACGCCGATTTTGGTCTGTCAATAAAAACTGAAACGTCTCTAAATGCGGACAAATAACTATAAGGTTATTGCAATAACTGCAAGTTTATTTCTAACTAAGAATTTCAATACTATATTTCAATATAGTTCACGCAGCGCAATGGCAATAATTTCATTATTTACTCAWGTATTTTGAATATTTTTATTTAACAGGTGTCTTTTGAAAAGTCTCTTTTTGTACGGCTCATGACGAAATTTTGAATCAATAGTAGTCTATGTCAGTAATCTAGACTAATATATATATATAAATAACTGAACACAAAATATAGAACTACTACTTTCTCAATTATTTAATAGGTGAAAGTAATGAAATGTTGAAAGCTTTGGTTAATTAATTCATCGACTTTTATGACATTTCATCAAGTCATGCCGATGACGTGCAGGTAAGTTATAACCAGCCCACCATGATTCAAGACATCTAGTTTCGTCAAGTTTTATTCGAATTAGAACCAACTTTAGACTCATTCTAATAGTCGGTCCTAGCTCGCTGTCAGTTAATTTGTTTGTCGTTAGTTTGAGGGATAAACCGAAATTGACGAGCGGAAACTAAGCTAAGAGACTACTACGACTTACGGACACTTGAGTGAGTTTTTTTAAAAATCTTTTTATTTGTATGGTCTAAATTTAGCTCAACGGATATCGTTTTATACACTTCAGAAATATAGGCTAAATGTAGACTGATTCCACCAGTCTGTCTAGNCTACTACTTTCTCAATTATTTAATAGGTGAAAGTAATGAAATATTGAAAGCTTTGGTTAATTAATTCATCGACTTTTATGACATTTCATCAAGTCATGCCGATGACGTGCAGGTAAGTTATAACCAGCCCACCATGATTCAAGACATCTAGTTTCGTCAAGTTTTATTCGAATTAGAACCAACTTTAGACTCATTCTAATAGTCGGTCCTAGCTCGCTGTCAGTTAATTTGTTTGTCGTTAGTTTGAGGGATAAACCGAAATTGACGAGCGGAAACTAAGCTAAGAGACTACTACGACTTACGGACACTTGAGTGAGTTTTTTTAAAAATCTTTTTATTTGTATGGTCTAAATTTAGCTCAACGGATATCGTTTTATACACTTCAGAAATATAGGCTAAATGTAGACTGATTCCACCAGTCTGTCTAGTCGCTTTTTTTCGTATCTTTGAACGATTTTATACGCCCTAAAGCAATATTGAGCGATTTGGGGGCGATTTTAGCTATTTGTGTCCCTATTAAGGCTGAAGAAAAGATTGAGAGAGTTTCTTGTAAATTCAAAATACATTGTGCTTGTTTTTAGAAAAAAAATCAATATGATCAAATTCCAAGTAATATTGAGTTTACTCTTCGCTGCCGTAACACCATTCGTCACTTCACAAGTTCCAGTCAGCAGAGATCCACCGATAGCTTATGCGGATTTCCATAAGATTGCCGATCACTTTCTAAATGCCACGGGACTAGCTGCTGACTTAAGTGTTACCAAGGCTTTAGGATGTGGATTTCGGTGTTTGTTTCACCATCAGTGCGTCTCTTTTAACTATGGTGGCAGCGGTGGTAACAACTGCAAGATTTTGGGCTTTGATCGATTTTCAAGTTCGTCTTCATTATTACATGATGGCAAATATGATTACTACTACATCAAGGTATGAATAGTGTTTTTCAATAATTCACCTTTAATATCTATATTTAGTATTACTATATTAGTGGACTATTGCAAATCCTACATTCAGTGATTGGCTAACGCTACTTGAAATCTATTTTCAATAGTCATCGACTTGATTTTAATTTCCTTAGAAATATTGTGGTTCAAATAGATATGTTAAGGGTCAGATTTTAAGTTTGTTCACTCGTCTCAAACAACCTTTCACCTGCGCCATCGAGGTCTAATTGTTACTGAAATATACTGATGTTTTTTTAATAATATTTTTTGTGAATGTGGAAACTATTTGGTGTCTGAATAAACATAAAATCAGCACAAAATATTTCTCGATTTTTACTTCAATAGGGTTTTTTAAAACCCTAAAAAGTCATTTAAAACTATTAAACTGAAAGGTCTACCTATTTATCTGTACATATTGCAATTATGCAGAGTTTACAGGTTGTAAATTTGGTGTAAATGTGATGTCTCCAAAATTCTGTAAATTTAATGGAAATCATTTACATCTACTACGTAGTTCTAACTCACGCTGCATGAAGAGAAAAAAACGCGTGATATATACCTGTTTTCAACTTTTTCTAGTTTGAAATATCTTTTTCGAATAAATCACACGCACTCCCGTGGTTATACTACGAGAAAATAATGGCAAAATTTCAATAATTGGTCAAATGAAAAAAATACTGTTCTTGTTTTCGTCTTTGTTTTTCCTAAGTTCATTATTGTTTCTCCCGGGGGGGACGTGCCGCCAACCAGGGTATCGTTATCAGCGATTTTACTCTGGAACTGGGTATCGTTTTTAGCGATTTTACTCTGGAACAGGCTATCGATTTCAACGAATTTTCTCTGGAACAGGGTCGCTGTTTAATTCCGGAATTACTGAGAGTTGATTATTGATGCCAGGGCCGTAGCCAGAGTGAATGGACAACCGAGGCAAGCGCGACCGCCGATGGCGGGAGAAACTAGGGGGGTCTGGGGGCATTCTCCCCCTAGAAAATTTGAAATTCAGTTTCTCGGAAATGCAACTTGCAGCGTTTTGTGGGCCTTTTGGTAACTCTTTATTGAACAGATTTAACCGGAATTCATCATGCAATATTATTATGAAACAAAGAAACTACACGTACAAAATTCGGTACAAAAATAACATTATTTTCATATTTTTTGCACAAAATCAGTCGTACGAAATCGGCTCTGAGAGGCTAAGATAATATTAGTGATGAAGAACAAAAAGCATTGGCAAAATTTTACCGAGGCGAGTGCCTCGGTTGGCCTCTTACTAGCTACGGCCCTGGATGCTGGGTAAAAATTCACGGGGTAAAAATTCGGTCTACACGCAGGCTAGTGCTGAATTTTCTCTAGAACAGGGTATAGTTTTCAGCGATTTCACTCTGGAACAGGATCAGGGGGGAGTTTCTTCAACGATTAAAATACTTTTAATATATCATAAATATAATAAAGCATTTATCGACTGGTACATCGGAAAAACAGTATGTGGCTTATTATAATTTGTTGTTCCTCGATCCTCAGCTTCGTTTCGGGAAACATCAGTGGTCTCGGGACCACAAGCATACTTTCTCTCGATTCCACTAAGTATTCCAGTAAATAACTGTTATTTAATATATCTTCTCCATTTCATGTCCTTTGTACTTCGGGTAATATATAGCGTGCTTGTGATGACAAACCTTGTGCTAACAACGGGAAATGCATTACGAACGATGACAGCAGTAATTTTACATGTGGCTGTACAAGACTTTTCACTGGCAAAACATGCAAAGGTATGCTCATCATGTAACATGCAAGCGTAATAGGAAATTGCATAACATTAGGGAGCAATTATTATGTGACATTCTTGCAATTAATTGTAGGTCAAAATAGTGGAACT